TCAAAAGAGTATGCTACTACTTAAAATGTATCTGGAAACACCTTACTCTCATGGGTGTTTTTACAGAACTTTACATTAGAAACCTTTTAAGTCACTGGCAATATTTCAAAGGTAGCCGATAGTAAACCCTCCACTGACTTCACAGCAGCCAAGATTTCATTTGGTTCCTATACAGCATTGTCTCAACCATCTAGGTGCATGATATCATCGAGATACGATGTGTATGCTTGGTCCTTTTCACCCTAAGAAATTATAAGTGAAGCCTGGACTCTGTAGAGTCTGGCTGTTTTATTTTAAGAAGTCTATTGCTAAAAGAGCAACAAGTTCAAAATCTAAAAAGGAAAAGAAAAGAAACAAAAGCAGCTATTGTAAAACAATAAGCCTGGGCACTTAACGCTGCAAGCTCCAACACCCGACTGTATTATAGTATGAGTGGTTCACTCAGCTGAAAGTGATTAATTTCTTGAAAATGCTAAGGTCACACTAATTGACATGACCTGTGTAATTAAGCAGTCTCTGTTTACACATGGAAAGCTCAACTGCTGTGAAGCTGGGTTTGTATGACAGAATGTCTTTACAAGTCAAGAGATCAACAACCTTTCCTATGTCCTACCTACTCGCCAACACAGGCTCCCGATTGCTGTTCTGAGAGAACACGCAAAGGCATTACCATATGAAAATCAGCCTCAAGCCTGGGCGAACACAAACCCAGCAGAGTGTACATGTTGTGAAGCAAGCTCTGACAGGCCCCAGGGGTGACTACTTGGCCTAAATCCCTGTGCTGGCGAGAGTTCTTTTTCCCCCTTTCTCCTTCAGTGATAACGCCCTCTCAAATCATAGGAGAAACATGAGGGAAGGAGGAGTGTGTGCTGAGAAGTTGAGGGCTCTGCCGTGCTAATGTTAACTCTTACACTGATTAATTTAAACCCCGTGGCCACATCTCCTCAATTCTGTGCTCAGAGGGGCAAATAACACCCTTCTGCCTTCCAGTGTCATTACAATTAAGCGGTTCAACAAAACACATATGTTCTACATATAAATAATATTGCCATTTACATAGCATTTAGCACTTAAGTGTGACAATGCTGGAAAAGAAGCACACAAGCTCCTGGGCTGCTGCAGAAAGCAGCAGTCTTTGGAGTTGTCTTCCTCCAAACACCCATGTAGTCTATGGGACAAATCTCCTAGTTCTTCTTCAGAACCCTGAGGCAAATCCCTACTAACAGACTCTATCCTGGGCCATATATACTCTTTCCATCAAAAGAAAAGGTCCTTTGGCTCTCTACTCCATATTTTTATTCAGCACATACTCAGGTGGAGCTTCATTGACATAGTCAAAGGACCATGTGTTAATAAAAGGATAGAAGCAGCTATTTCTCAGCATTGCCACCACACCACTCTGTTCCCAGAACTGTGGAAGGCAAGTGCAGACCAACTTCCCAAGGGACAATGCTGTACTTGATCCAAAAAGTAGCCATGGACATAGGTGTAACACCAAAAAATGTGCTTGGCCATCCAAAGCTGTGCTGATAGTACAATTCCTAAGAACCACTGCCACACACTGCAACAGCAGAGAAATAACAGCCCAAAACATCCCAAGAAAGATAGTCATCCCAAGTGCTGGCTACAGGGATGGACCTTCATCCCATTGATACACATTTATGAGTGTATTCTTTAATGTTACTGAAGAATAACCGCTCAAGTGTAGTCACAAGTTTGATTTTATTAATTGCTCTTATATCCTCCTCTGTCCCTTCCAATAAACATGCTACTCACTCAGTGTTTACATGAAGGCAAATAGTTCCCCAGGCAGAAGGGAATATCTCAGAGCAGGGTAGCCCCATAACCTAAAATAACAGTGAGGTCATGTTGATTTTTCCTTTTAATGCTTCATCCACTTCCAGTGGAGATAAAATTATCTTCAAGATTTCTCCTGTCCAGAGCAAGAAAACCCAACTACTTCCTGCCAATTCTGCTGTGACAAGAAGTCCTCAGTCAATATTCTGTGACCTTATGTTTTTAGCATCTTTCAGTGAATTACTAGGTTAGTTTGGGTCAAAGTACTTCTGTCCCTAACAGCTGCTGATTTTTAAAGGAGGAAGTGTGTCCAACTGACCTGGAATCGACGCATGTCTCGAGGGTTTCCTGCATTTTTTAGGCAATTTTGGTTACATTTGAGGAAAAATTTCAAGAAGAACCTGGGGAGAAAGAGAAATGGACATTAACATCATATAAACAGCGCATAGTAGCGCTATGTAACATCTGCGCATTTGATCCAACAAATCCTTATTTACATTAGTATTCCCCACTCAGACAAATCATCCCACTGACCATCCAAAGGGAAGCAGACCTTGCATGGGCCCAAATCCAGTAAAATGTGTAAGCACATCCTAAATATTTAAGCATTAAATTAATAGATCTGTTGTATCAGAACCATTAAAATTTACGGAGTCAGTCCCTCTATCATGCTAAAGAGCCAGCCTTACTATGCCATCCATAGCAGCAAGGAAGTAAGAGACAGATTTCAGCACAGGAAAACAAGGACAGAAAAAATGCCAGCCAAGAAAATTCCCTTATGTATAAACGGGGTTTTGTTTTACAAGTTCACTGTTGAGTGCAAATGTTGATTTAATACAAAAAATCCTGAAAATGTTCCATACAGTTGAAATCTCCCTTCCACAATTTAACCCAGTTTGTGCATAAAATCATTGCTCAAATAGTGCTGAGTGGGAGACCAAAACCCTGAAAGGAGAAGGGGGGAAGTTTGGTTTAAAAGACTGACTTCACAGAAAAATTAAATATTTTCAATGCAATCTATTTCCGGACCAAACACAGTTCACTGAAGTAGCTATATGACCCTGACATATATCTCTAAGAAAAGGCATTGCATTTTACAAAGCCAAAGAAAAAAGCAAACATTTCACTGAAAATATTTCCTTCAGTGTTATGCATCAGTGGACTGTAAACTCATAAAGACAAGTCAATGAATAATAGTGGGACTCAGATTCCAGGCTTCCTCTCTGAGAGCCAAAGTTTATCAACCTTTTGTCCAAAATAAACTACAGACTAAGGTCTATTAAAACTCAGCCGTGCAAAATTTAATCCTACAGCAAGTTTAAAACCTAGTGCAACCAGACAGAGCAGCATTACACTTGCAATACCCATCAGCTGACTAAGCAGAAGCTAATCTGACCTGTTTCCTTATACAAACGTGGGGCAAGGAGTTGTTTGATCCTGTTTTACTGTCAGAAAGTTAACTTTTGCTAGCATCCCTCTTTTAGACCCCAAACTGAATGCTTGGCCAGCAGAATTTGCACACACTGCCACCAAGAAAGGCAAAACTGCAGGGTAAATTGCTCCGGAAAAACCCTTTGATGAGCAGCATTCTCTGCCCTGCTCTAGTTGTGATGCCATCCTCAGTAAAAGGGCATCTTGTTCAAGAAAATCATACTAAGCAAATAACTGCAAGGACAAATTAAAACTACAGGGGACTGTTTTCATTAAAGAAAAGTAAGGTAATGAGAAGGATTATAAAATGTGATGCTTGGGATTATCAAGGACTGGATCTCCTGACCCAGGAAGTCCCTTGCAGATCTGTGTTCCTAAATATGAGCAAGCAATCAATACAAAATAAACAGCAGCCACACTTGCACAGGGGTTTGGAGACACTGTGTTTGTTTACACTAAAATAAAGATCAGTATAAGCCATTACATTTTCTCATCAAGCAGGTTCTGATATTCTGCAATGGAAAGCTGGTGCTATTTGTTGTACATGTGTGTGTCTTTTTAAGCCTCTAATGGCCAGCTGTGACAGCCTGACTCAGATTGTGTAGAAGGAGCTGTCAGCACAAATCTTGGCATCTCGAATCCAGACAACTGCTTGCCACTAGGCAAGGGTTTGTACTCGTGCCAGAATGGATTTTGAGAGACAAGCAAATAGGGCATTAATTCCGCCAAAGAAAAACGAAAAGTGGGGAGAGTTCAGGATCTTACACTTCAGATGATGGCTTTCCTGTCAACAGCTCATCATTTAGCTCACGAGCTATGAAGGGCACGGACATCAGATCCCTCTTGCCCTAAGCTGGCCCTGTCATGCGAAATGCTGGCAGGATCCAGAGACCACCCCTCCGCGCAACACTGCTCGCTGAAATAAAAAGCCCAGCCATCTGTTGGGAGGCAAAGACATCCCTGTCAGCTGGTGCCTACAGCCTTGAACAGGCCCTTATGTGGCAAAACCTCTCAGAGCCACCTACTCTTTGGGGAGAAACTGGCACTGCCATGGGTTTGACAGGGAATTTTTGGTGGCTTCGCCAAGCACTGAGCCCAGCGGCTGCCCTCCTGGTCTGCCACAGCCCTGGAGAAACACCTCAGTCCTAAGCAAATCTGGGACGTGGAATAGTTAAAAATACGTGCACTGAGAGGGAGTGCAGCCACGCATATGTGGGGAAGCACCTACACGGTCTGGCGTTGAACAGCACACATGAGCGCTGGGCAATGGGGGATGGCAGGTTGATTCAAGGGCCCCAAAAGAGATTGAAAGCTCTTCATGAAGCTCTCCAGAGAAACACTGGGCCTTCCCTTACAAAGGCTGAGCCCTTGTCAGCTCAAAGGCTTGAAAAATTGCTATGAAATACAATATTTGGCTTCTGGGGTCTGCAAACTCTAACCCAGAGTTTCAAAGTCTCTCCATCTGCACTGTGCTCTCTCCCTCCAGTTCAACAGAAGTTTCATCAAAATAAGCTGTATTAAAAATGAAGCTCATCTATTTAAACCTACCAAAAAAAACCTCAGACAAGCAAGCAAGCAAAACTTCCTTTGACTTAAAACAACTCCAGAAAATAATTAACTTAAAAAAATAACAGTATTTTCAGAGGAACTTTCAAGACCCCAAGCCTACACAGCCAAGTTTGCTCACTGCATTTTAAGTAAAAAGTTACCAGTTTACAGAACACATTCTGCCAAGCGCCGTATTTTTATTCCACTGAAAGACAAAACAAACTACAGGCTGCCCTTTGTTTAGGAACACACCAGAGCGGGAGTCCCCCCGGCTACGCGAATGTGTCCCACACTCATCCAGGCAAGAGTCGAGCAGCTCCCGAGCTGGCACAGCACACGCCGGCTGATGGTCTCCCCGCACTTTGGCAGGGAGGCGGATGCGAACAGATTAAGACAAGGGGAGAGCAAAGGAGTTTGATTCACGTGGTTCAGCCTGCTCTCTCAGTTCCTGCTTTAAACCACTTGCTCAGGTGCCTTCTTCACCTCGAGTCCAGCCCTGCCAGCCTTGCTCATTAGCAACACTTCGCTCTGCAAATACTTCGGATTTAGACTGACAGGACAGGTCCAGGAGAAGTGCCAATAGAGCTGAGCTCTTTGTAAGCATAAACCTCCATCACCATTTGTTTGCATCTAACTTCTTCACAGTGGGTTATTTTTTCCAGTTCTAACTTTCTCCACATCTGGCAGGGCTGTATAGCATTAATACTAACCACAGAGGATATATAGCATTAATACTAATCACTGGGGTCTGAAATTCATTCACAAGATGAAAAAAAATGTGCAAAATACAGGAGTGTCAATAAAATCTTCAACTTTAACTGTGTCTCCAAACTTAAGTGATTGCTGAACACCAGCTCCTCTGCCACACAAGACTCAGTCATCAATTATACTTATTGCTACGATCAAAGGTTTATTTTTTGGCATGATGAAACAAACCATATTTTCCATCTCCCTGACTATGAAGTTCCTGGTAAGAAGAGCATTTATGCATATGGAGCAGAGAAACACAAGCCAGCTCCATGTAAGTCAGCTCAGGTCCAGAAACAGGCAAACTTTTACAATGCACTTGGATTTACTGGCTTAAAATGCTATTAAATCAAAGAACTCTGTGTTTCACCCCTTACCCCACAGAGATGTGGGTGGAGTGTATGGGACTGCAGTTTTGGAGAAAACCAGTTAATTTTGGCGTTACATTTAGGTGTGCAAAATGCGGTTCAGTGCAGACTGCAAAAACTACTCAAGAAGTAAAGTTGCTGAGCAGTTAATCCATGCCATGACGCTGTACTACTACAAATCTCTAAGTAACTGCAAGGACCGATGTAGAAATACAACCTTCAGTTAAAACAAACCTCCAGTCTAAACCAGGCCCCAAATTAACATAACTTCTGCCTGCCAGGCAGAAGCTCTAACAAATGGGTCACCCCACTTTCATCACTGGCCATCTTGTCCATCACAACGCAAACACTTCGGGTTTGTGCGATACGCATCCCAGCACCCAGGTCTTTGTCACTGCTAACTACCACCGTGGTTTAAATTAAATAAATACACAGCAGAAATGGAAATACTAGCACTAAAGATGTAAAAGGGATTTTGCCCTCCTACTTTTCTGGCCACTACAAATTAATACCCGTGTTTATTAAAAATAAACAAAGAGTTAGCTCAAAGAAAGCAAGCTCTGACATGATCTAGGTTGGCACTTCTGTCACTCCCCTGAAGGAAATTTAAAGGAACTCAAACATGAAGGCTTAGCAGTAGGATTTTCTTGCCATTGCCACAATAAATATGTCTGTGGAAGGAGAAAAAAAATAGTTGGAAAGAAGACCTGCTGCATTCCTGATGCTGAAGAAAAGCTTGTTTGTTCCCGGTACATTGGAGAAGTTGTTCAAGAACAGTTCATCCATGTGAAAATACGACAGCTGTCGTGCTGCCAAGGTCAGCCAGACCAGTGGCTATCCAGAAAGTGAGTGCTGGTTATACAGCTTAAACCTGGCTAGGGCAAACAAAATTGACAAAATGCACCTTTTCTGAGGGATAAACACATTTGGTAGAAGAGGGCAACTTCAGACCCAGTGGTAAGTATGTGTGGGTTTGCAAAATTAGTAAAACCAAAATACATGGCCCAGTGCAATAACTAGCAACCGTCCATGAGATAAAAGCATTGCATGCCCATTCGGTATGACATGCCAATTCAGCAGACTACTAAATATGTGCATAAATTTAAATACACAAGCAGTATTGATGGAGACAAAGGTACTACTCACATACTTCAGTACCTCACAGAACCAGTTTTTCTGTCAGCCTCTCCTCTCTTTGGTTGTCCTCCCAGCAAAAGATGGGATGCTAGGGACATGATACTACAAATACAGTTGTCTCAAACAATATCTGATGGGTATTTTATCTCTGTTGAAAACTCGGCATA